CAGAAAAGCTGGAAACTACAGGTGAGACTAGAAATTTCTTGATTAAATATAGTAATTTAAGACTCGGCTTTTTTTTATGAAAGCAATCGCGTATTACTTCTTGAAAGCTACTAATGCGGTCAGTTTAACAGTGGTTGAAAATGGAGAGAACTGGAGTGTCGGTCAAAGGCAGCTTTTCTGTCTTGGAAGAGCCTTGCTAAAGAAAAGCAGCATTCTCGTTCTGGACGAAGCAACAGCATCAGTTGATGCTGCAACTGATGCAGTGTTACAAAAGATTATCAGTCAAGAATTCAGAAATCGAACAGTTGTCACAATAGCTCACAGAATCCATACAGTCATCGATAGCGATCTTGTCTTAGTCTTGAATGAAGGTAAATATTTGAATACATCTAATATCTCTCCATCCTCTTGATTTGAATAAGCTGCTAACTTCTTGATTCTAACTATATGAATTCCTTCACTTGTTAACAGGAAGAATAGCCGAATATGACACACCAGCAAAGCTATTGGAAAAAGAGGATTCTTTCTTCTCAAAATTGATAAAGGAGTATTCAATGAGATCCAAAAGTTTTAACAGCTTAGCTAAATTACAGACTTGACCTTGCTTCTCAAAAAGGTCTATATCAGCCTCAGCTACTAGCCTACTGTAGAGGTCAACTAAGCACCCTGACAGTGCTTTTGTAAGCTTAGTTCACCAATCACCATTCATAGGGAGTTGAAATTTTGTAAGCTTTCAGTATAGTAAAGAAGCTTCTCTATTTGAAAGAACATTGCACGCAATATGAAGAAGGATACACACCCCTAGCATTAAAATTCTGTAACATTTGTAAACCATGAATTACTTTTGTTCTTGAAGTTACCAAAAAAATCTGTGTAATCTAAGTTTCACTTTGAGAGAGGTTAAGTTGATGTCGCAAATAAAGAAACTTCCAAAATTCTCACGTGTTACTATCAGAGGGTAGTAACAAACAAAAAGTATAAGTTCAATAAGCAGGCAATTTTTGATATATATGTACTACTCAACTCCGAATAAACAGTTAACAAATTATCGAGCCAATTATCAGGAGAGGATAGGTGAGTGATAGAGGCATAGAAGTAACAACATGGAGATTCGATACTCAAATCCCAATTAAAACACTCAGTGTGAGTCCATCTACTCTAGCCTTGAGAGGTTTACCCTAGAGGCGGAGCCACAGTGTGGGTTACGAGTTCGGCCGAAACCATTAGCTATTCAAATCATGTATTTGTCTTAAAATTTCACTAATTATGTACAACTAATTAATTTGAACCCAGTAACTTAAAATGATTAGAATCTCGAACCCATAAGCTTGAAATTCTGGCTCCGCTCTGGACTTTACCCCAGAACTTTGATTTTCCATAGAGTTAAAAAAGCATTGTGCTTGAGCAACAAAAACTTAACAGTTTCCAGCATTGAACGTCCACAGCAGACCAAAAGATCTTCCTACTTCATGCATGGGCGCCGGAAAATTACATGTAGATGTTGAATGTCTTTGACTTCATGGTATGTTTTCTTCTTTATATTTTGAATTACTATTGACTTCATGCCTCCCACCCAAGGGCAGATGTAGAGTTCAATGTATGGGTTCATCCGAAACCCAGTAGCTTGACTCGGACTGTTCGGTAAATCTAAAAGTGCAATGAATTGAAGAAATTCATCAAAGATCAACTCATCTGTGTCTAAATTGTTACAAGGAATCTGAGAGATAATCGAGTTTTACCTGAATGAATCAAAACAAGAGGGGCACCCAACTATATACGCACTTGCTCCATCAGACTTTGACTTGAAAATGCAAATGGATTGACGATTTCCATCGGCAGTAAAGCCTATAGCAATTCCAATGGTCTGTATTTTCTGTGGGAACGTAGAATGAGATTTGAGAATCGATGATAACCATAAGAGGTCGACGCTGTGTGAAATTTGCACTTTTTTTTTTTTTTTAAACAGCTTGTTCGCATGGTTATAATATATGGTATTGTAATGTATCGTCGGATAATACAACATTTGGATATATTATATTATTTACCGTCATTTTATAATATCACGCACTAACAATACGAAAAATAAACTTGTTTACCCTTAAAAATGAGTAACAATTGAATTTATACGCGGTTTAAAGGATACGTGATTTAATTCGAGAACAACAAATAATTAGACTAAAGTGAGAATGAACTATCAAACCATAATGAACTATCAAACCAATCGTAATGGAACAATCAAGCCCGGTCTTAAGCTGAACACTAAAATCCGGCCTCGATCGAACCCTCGATATGAGCTCGGTTGCAATTAAAGAAGAGAGTAACTAAAGAACACTTTGAATAATAGCTAAAAGACAAAAATGAACTTTTATTCCTTTGATATGCATGTCAACATTGTGTTAAAATGAAAAAATTATATAATAGGAGAATTTTAATCCTAGTACAAGTCGAAATAAGGTAAAAATCTTCTTTTTTCGGTAAATATCGATCTACAGTTTATATCAGACGGGATTTGCGCCGTAATATCCGGTTGAGAGCAAATATTATGGCTCCCTACTCGTCATGCTCAACCGTTTAACTTTTTCCCGTGGTCTCGAAACTATACTTGGTCCAGATCCGTTGTTTAGCCGTGCCCGATCCTAGATGCATTGTTCATCCCTCCTGAGCTCCGACACGAGGGACCCTTCGGCTTCGCTTGAAGTTTCTTGGACTGTGCTTCCCTCTCGTTTCTTTATTGGGTAATCGGGGGTAACATTGTCCCGAATTTTACTCGTACACACATATTCCCCTCACTTTTTGGAGAGCAGATCTATCAAAACGACGAGAAGTGATTAATTGACCCCGGTTCCTTCTTACGTACGCAACAACCGGGTCGACCAGTCAGTGAAACGTCTCACGAGTCGCGTCGTTCTGACTTCGGACACGTGTCAGCCGCCGGTTGACCATCCTAGAATGTGAAACGTCACGCATTAATTACCTCTTCTCTATAAAAGCTTAGGGTTTTTTTTTTCACTTTTTTGACTTTCCGATTCGAGAACTCCTCAATTTACCCCCGAACTTTTCACTTGCTTTTAACCCCTTCAAATCTTCATACATTGTTCTTCATATCTTTATCTTCCCATCTTCAAATCTTCATACTTCATCCTTGAACCTTTAAGTTTGACCTTCAAATTTTTATCCTCGTCTTCAAATCTTCATACTCGCCTATTCATATTTCCCAGAACTCGATGGCGAAGACTTCAAAATCCGTGCCTCAACAGACCGTCCCTTCAACTTCTAACCCGGCCATGGATGTTGAAGTGGCCATACCTGAAGTGGCCCCAGAACCTCCTCTAAAGAACTTCATCCCCGGATGCTGCCTGAAGTGGCCCCGGAACCTCCTCTAAAGAACTTCATCCCCGGATGTTACTTTATAAAAAATGATTTCAAGGTCGATAAAGCTTCTAGTCAAAGGGATCGAGGCGAGGAGTTAAGGAGGTACATATGCTCCATCACCGAGGACACGCTCCCTACGGTTCAGGAGGAATGCAAATAGGAGTGCAAAGAAGTGGTCGTCCCCGGTCCTAATGAGGACATCACCACATATGTGGAAGGATATTTAAGTGTTTACACATACCCCTTCACACTTGCCTCGATGGATCCCATAGTCCTCGACTTTTGCAAAAGGTATGAGGTCTGCTTTGGGCAGATTCACCCTTCCTTTTGGAGGATCGTGATTCTCCTCCGCCACTTTGTTAATAACACTGAGGCACCCTGATTTACCATTGACCATTTGCTTCGTCTCTACAGTCCCTGAATCTTCCGAAGGGGATTAATCAAGATCGTTCGTCGGGCAAATAGAGCTCTATTCTCGAGCATTGATGAATATAGGGATTGAGGCTAGCAGGGGAGATTCGTTCGGGTGAAAACCGAGGATCTCATTCCCTCCGAGTTCTTGTCGTTCCCTGAAAAGTAGAACCTAGCCCGTAAGTTCCTCTCATTTTTGAGTATTTAGAATTTCTTTTGGATTTTTGTTCTTCTTTTTCATTGCATGGTTCTATCATCATGCATCGGCTGCCCGAGTCCCCAACACAGTTACCCGCTTCAAAGAGTAGGTCGAGGGGATCTGCACACAACTGTCGTATTTCAAGCGCGAATGGTGTAAATTATCGAAGGGCAAGTGGGAGGCCCGTTCCCATGGTGAGTGCTGTACCCGGCCAAGTTTACTTTCATATTCAACTGTAATTTTCACTAAGTCCCTCTCTTTATTTCATAGGTTTGCCTAAGACCACTAAGCTCTAGACATTGGACTAGGACGAGGCTTCGTCCTCACCCGATAAATCATCCGCTCCGGGATAGCCTGAGGCTGCTGTGAAGAAGGAGGAGAAAAGGAGAAGAAAAAGGAAGTCTTCAAGTTCCCGGACGCCGAGGCCAAGAAGAAGAGGGTAGCGGTCCGGGCCCGAAGAGAGTACCCGGGCCAAGGTACCGGACCCTGAATCCCTTTACCGGCTCAGGGACTATCCTGAAGATGACGACCAGGAGTTCGTCTCCCATCGGATAGCCGTTGATGAAGAAGAGCGGGCAACAACCGAGGGAAGTGACCAAAAGGTCAACCCCTCTTTGACTCATGAGCCCGAAGGAAAACCAATGGTTACGGCTTCCTGAGAAGCTACTCCTGCTCCGAAGGGAAGCCGTCGGTGTCATTGACATCATGGGATCGCCGTCCCACACACAGTCTTTATTCGACGAGGCTTAAGCCATCAAAGAGAAACCAAATGAGACATCGCGGGCCACAGATGAGGCCATCAACCTGTTCTTTGAGGGCGTGGACATCGGCGCATTAGAGGATTACTCTAGGTTCGGTCACCTGGAGATCCCAAAAAAAGATGCTCCGTTGGAAGCAGGCAGGCTGAGTTTGAGACCGAAGCTGGTGAAGTAGTTCCCTGCTCCGAGCGTGGATCCCGACCGCAAAATAACGGTCGTGTTTACGATCCCGGCGGATACTCGGGTACTGTTCGGACCGTTGGCATGGCCAATTATCTTCGGTGCTTAGTAACCGAAGAGGATCAGGCGAAGATGAATGAGATGAGCGCACTGAGCCTTTTCAATGAGGTACAATAGGCGTTGAACCGGGTATGCTTCTCTTTCTTTGTGACCTTCGTGTAGCTCATTTAACCTTAGCGTTTCTTCATGATCTCATCACTTTATTTTTCAGGCCTCGGTGCTTCATCATGAAAGCTTCCTTCAGTCTCGGATGGAAATGAGCCAGCTTGAGTTCGAGCTCAAGGAGCAAGTCCGACAGGAGGTGTACAAGGCTCTCAGCGAACAAAGATACGAGGCCCTCAAGGACCTCCCCATTCTCCAAGATGAGTTAGAAAAAGCTCAAATGGAGGCTTCGTCCGTGAAACAGAAGCATGCCGTACTAGTCTAGAAGGTAAGATATTTGAGATTAAAAATGAGAAGCTAAGCATAGTTGCTAACGACGCAACCTCGCAGGTCCAGGAGAAGGTAGACCTGATTGACCAACTCCGAGCCGAGATGAACGAGCTCAAATCTTCAGCCGAGATGTTGAGGAGCTAGATCGACCTCCTGGCCTCGAAAAAGGAGGTTATCAAAGAGGAGTTGGCATCGGTTAAGGACCAGCTCAGAGTGATAAAGGATAAGGCCGACAAGTGGTCTCGGCTAAATGATGAGATTTGAGCATAACTGGGTTCGGTCGTTTCGGAGCGAGACGATCTCGCCCGAGAGTATACCGCGTTGAATTCCAAGTTAGAGGCAGCTTCGGCTGATTTCTCCTAGGTCGAGGAAATGCTGGCCCAATACAAAAACAATGTGGAAATAGCCGAGGACCGCTTGATAACAAAGGCCGAGTACATAAAGTGGCTATCCCGGAGGGAGACCCTCGAGGAGATTCATGCCCGGGGGTTCGATCTATCTGCCGAGATTGAAAGGGCCGAGGCTAAAGAGATATATGAGACAGAGGGTTCCGACACTTAATTGGGCTCTAGTGAAGACTAGGCGGATATGCCTTAGTTTATTTTTTGTTTTCTTTTGTACATTTGTTTTTGTTTATTTTGAGGTCGTTTTATCGCCTTTGTAAATATTTTTGGAATGTATAAAAAAAAATTCCCTTCAGCCATAATGTGTCTTTTACTTTTCAGTATCCATTTGCAACTCTTTATTTGAAGAATGTCATTAATGCCTTAGCATAAAATTGGACATAATCTAGAGTGC